GGTCCCCAATATAGCACGGCACGCTTATAAAGCAGGACCCCCTAAAAGGGACCTTAATTTAGAAAACTACCCATATCACATAGCCCTAAGGGTCCATGTACCCAAGGTAGTATATACTTTGGCCATAAGTAGTCAACACATTGACATAGATACTTCTGAGGCCAGTGTATATACTATTTAGGTACATGGGCTACTTCACACGAGTCTAGGACATTTTCAGGTGGGTAGTTACCGTTATAAGAGCCGAAGTCTATATACCTTATAGAAGCCTTATAGAAGCCCTATATACCCTAAACTCCCCACCTAAAGTTTCCCTCTCACGAGGGTGCTGCTGCCTATTAGTTCTTTCTGAAGACCCTGATTCTTCAAGCAGCCTGTCTTGAAGAAACCGCAGGCTGCAGACTTCAAGCCCTAAACCCCTAAACCCCAAATCCCTAAACCCCCAAACCCCTAAGCCCCAAATCCCTAAACCCCCAAACCCCTAAGCCCCAAATCCCTAAACCCTAAACCCCCTAAACCCTAAACCCTAAACCCCTAAGCAACATCACCCTAGGCTCCAGAAATGTTGGTGCGTTTTGCTACGGACAGGAGATCCCCTTTGCCCTGAAGTGGTTCTGCGAGGCTCCTGGCTGTTGCCAACGCGACTTTCAGAGCATGGACTGCTTTGAGGTACTAGGAGGGTTCAGGGTTTAGGGTTCAGGGTTTAGGGTGTAGGGCAGGGCTTTTAAAATCGTGAACCGCGGTGCACTGTCGAATTGTGTTTCGCCCTTGCAACTTGCGCTTCATGTGACTGGTGTACGGCCTTGGCTTCGAGGCCTCAGACTGACTGTTTTTGGCATTGAGGGCTTTGGTCGGGTTTACTGTGATGCTTGCGGTATCTGCTCTGAAGATTTTGTTGCAGCGATCTCGGCTTTTGAACGATGAGGGGTTTCACATTCCATTCTGGGTAGGGTTCTCATGCCAGGCTTCTTGGTTACGGGGTTTACCGCCTACGCTGCTCCAGCACGGGAGCACCTAGGACAGAATCGCACGGGGTTGGCTCAATTTAGGACCACAGGCCCTGGAAATTCAAAGTTAGATAGGTATAGAAGCACGTGCTTCGAGCGCCGGACAAGCAATCACATGGCATCTTCTTGATATGACACATTGCTGCCTACTGCCACCACACACTGTGACTCTTGGACACGCAGCTGAGTAGCGTGGTATGCAGCGGTATGCACTTTGTCTGTACCTTTCACCAAGCTTGTGTCAGGAACGTCGGCATCTCTTGTTCTTTGTTCCTCTGCTGCAGAGTCTTTGCTCGTCTGACGACCCAATCATAGGGTCGCGTACCTTCTTTAATGAGTGGAGCGGCATGCGCAGGTTAGGGTACATGCTACCACAAGGCCTTTGCCCATCTGCGCCGCTGTTCCAATTAAACTGCACCCAGGATACCCCTAAAACCTAAAACCCTAAACCCTAAACCTGGCTTTTTGAGTTTAGTATGTTGCGAGCTTCACTCTTCAGAACCGCTATCAAGATGCAGCCTAAACTGCCTAAACCCTGGGCCCTCCCCTAAACTCGCACTCAAACTGAAGGATTTCAGAACCTGCAGTAACCCTAAACCCTAAACCCTAAACCCTAAACCCTAAACCCCAAACCCCAAACCCTAAACCAAAACAACCCTAAACGCCAGGTGACCTCCGGCTCCACCGCGCTGGGGGTTGCCTGCTTTTGTGGCAACGAGGACTCCTGGAGACCGTTTAGGGTTTAGGGTTTAGGGTTTAGGGCCCCTGCTGTGCCAAGGCCCTACTTAGTCGCACTCAGGTACGCGGGGACATGAGGGTTGGTACTGTCAGATCTTCAGTCTCCCGACCTTTATTTTGCGCTATGCTGCGCGCTGATGCACCATCGAAACTTTGGATGGACAGAGTTCTGGAGCTCTAGAAACCCAACATGAGTGCCCAGATCTCCCAAGGCCGGCAAGCCTTCCGGAGACCCTACCCTCAGGGTCAAGAGCCCTGCACCCTAATTCCTAAACCCTAAACCCTACATCCGGAGAGGACATGGTGGAGTTTCTTCTCTTAGCCAGCGCCGACCCGGACAGCCGGAACAACCGGGGGCACACCCCAATGTGGCTTGCCTGCCAGTCACACAGGGGTTTAGGGTTTAATGTAGGGCTAGGGGTCTTAATAATTACCTACTCTATTTTTGGGGCTCCTTCTTATAATTATAGTATAATGGGCCCCAACACCCTGTTCCAATGTTTGAGGCCCTACATTAGGGTCTACGTTTTCATGGGTTCTGACGTGTCGCAGGGTCTGCATGGGCCTGTCTCAGGATATGAGGTTTGGACTTTGGCTTGAGCTTGGATCTGGTTCCGATTGAGGCGGTCTCGGTATAACATCTCAGGTTAGGAGCCCTTAATTCCAAGAAGCCCAACTTGCAGCCACTTTCTGGAAGATTTGGTGATGGCTTGTTTGCTGTTTTTGATCGAGAGACGACGAAGATCAAAGGTTCTCGCTGAAAACGCTTTGTGCGATCTTCTGGCCTGCTTTAAACCTGAAGCTTCACTTTGTTTGGCATGTGAGGTGGGCCACTAAGGGTATATGCAGGGATACCCCGTTTTCGGTGGTGAGGTTAGGTAAGAAGGTACAGAAATGTTTTGCAGACACAAGAAGACACTTAGACGGTACCTGTGTCCTAGCTGGGCCGGGTTCTCATTGCCTCACGTATAGCCTCCCCGAAGAACTCGTAATATAGAGGCCAAAATAATTACCTATACTATGTTGGGGGTTCCTCATTGTAAATAAAATAAAATTGGCCGCAAAACCCTATTCTAACTATTAAGGCCCCTACTTTAAACTCTAAGCCCCCAACCCTGAAACCATACGCAGCAAAACTTCGCATCGGTTCCGTGTTTCCGAGACTTCCGGATCCAAAATCAGCCCGAGGCGAGCAGAGATACCATAGGGGACTAAATAATTACCTATACTATTTTGGGTGGTTCCTTATTATTATTATAGTATAAGGGACCCCGAAACCCTATTCTAAGTATTAAGGCCCCTACATTAGAGATACTGCTGTGGTTATCCCAGGGTCATGTCGTCGTGCCATATGTTCGGCTCTTTTTCTGCTTGCGATGATCCTTCACAGTTCACAGTTTAGATGTAGGAGTCATAACGCTGGGGGTCCTAAATTATCGGGTACTTATTTTCTCGAGCAATTTGGAGGGGCCTTTACAATTGCAAGCCAGACTACTTACATGCCAAACTGTGGTTGCTGTCATGGGCACTTAAACTTCAATTGCTGTCGGCGTTCCGCTGTGCATGACTACCACTAAAACCCCTGATGGTGCAGTTGCCTTCGTCATCAGCTCTAGTAACACCATTCCAGAGGCAGCTCGCGCGGCACGCGCATACGCAGCGTGTATTGGAGGACGACTTTTGTTTCAGGGCGAGCTTCCTTGCATTCAGCATTGAAGTTTTCCGAGCACGGGAAAAGGCAGAGATTAAGTCGACCAGATAGCTTTTATCGACACCAACGTTCCCAAGCTGACATCCCCGAAAAGAGCACGCGAAAAGTCCACGAATCTAGGCTCCGACACAAGTGAAATCTATACAGATGGAGTAGTAGAAATTTTATAGAAGACCACTGCGCCGGGACACTGCACGACTCAGGCAAGCTCATGCGAAATTGTGGTTGCCATCGGTCTTGTTCGGTTTCGTTGGTAGGGATGGTTGGGTGCCTTGACCATGGCGTCGAAATTCCACAGCAGGAGCCAGTTTCCTTCTATCTTGTACTGCCCTTTACCCAAAGGGTCCAAAGTACCCATATAGTAGACTGTAGGGTTTCTATATTATGAATTGTTATTATGATTTGGGAAAGTATCCCCCATAACAGTACCTAGGACCCTTTGGGTTACTGTTCTTCTTCGTGATTCTGAGAGAGTGCCGGCCGAATGGACTGAAGGACTTCGTGGGTGCCTCTGTGACTCTTCAGCCCACTCTGTCCAAGAAGACGGCGAAGCTGAAGCAGCGCCACGACGGACGGGCCGGAGGCGCATCCTTTCTCAGATTAAGCATGGAGTGAGGAAGGTTGTGTAGGGTAATGTGGGCCAGTAGTGATTCTGAATTCTCCCCCTCGCATGACTCTGAGGAAACCATATCCTAAACCCTAGACCCTAGCTTTTTGTCAGCTGGGCGGGTGGGAAAAAAGAAAAAACTTGAAGGAGCCATCAGAGCATACAAATCCAGAGTTACCTATAGTCTCCATTGTAGTTCCTTTTTTTGGGGGGATACCTTCTAAAATTCCTACTATATATTTGCTTAAACCAAAAAAAAGGAACTACAACGGAGAACCCCCCTAAACCCTGAACCCTAAACCCTAAGCCCTAACAAAAAGGAACTACAATGGAGACTATAGGTAAACTCCAAAGTCCAGACCTTTTGGCCTCCGCAGAAGTCACAAAAAGTGCCGTCGAAGCTGCCTTTGGGATTAGGGTTTAGAAGGGTTTAGGGCTTAGGGCCTAGGGTTTAGGGTTTAGGGTTTAGTGTTTAGGGTTTAGGGTTTAGGGGTTCAAGGTCTTACTTGCATAATAGAGGGGCCTTAAGAATTAGAAGAGGGTTTATTTTGAGGGTTCTTTTCAAAAGGGTTACTATACGGTATTAGAAGGGTTTAGTATAGTTGGGTGTAGGGTTTATAGGGTTTAGCTGAGATCCATTGCGTAAATTCCAACACGTGGGACTCTTCGGCTTGAACCGTGGCAGTACTTGGGGAAGCACTTTGGCCATGCTCGTGAATCCCGCCAGACAAAGAGGGGCAAGGGTTTAGGGTTCAGGGTTTAGGGTTAGGGTTTAGGGTTGAGGGTTTAGGGTTTAGGGGGTTTAGGGTTTAGGGGTTTAGGTCAATCGTTTCGGCTCCTGCCGGAGCTTGGTCTCATGTTGGCTCCTGGTCGTGTTTGAGTCTCCTGGTGGTCGTCATGGTCGTCGTGATGTAGGGTTTGGGGCTTTGTGTTTGGGAGTTGCGGGTTCAGGGTTATGGGGTTGTTCTCAAGCTCCTTTTGAAGGAGGGACCATCGGGATTACACTTCCCATGAGGAGTTTTGGGGATATTAAGGAACCCCCAACATAGTACAGGTGATTAGTTTTAGGCCCCTATGTTATGAAGCCGATGTTTTCAATGTGCAACAGCCTTCCTTTACGGTTTCTGGCCACACTGCTTTCTTCGTAGCCCCAAAAACCACTGCCCTTTGAAGACGAGGGAACTACATCAGCTCTAGGTAGAAGGGTTTAGGAAATTAGGGTTTTAGGGTTCAGGGTTTAGGGAATTGCGTTTAGGGTTTAGGGTTTAGGAAATTAAGGGAAGTACATCTGGGCTTCGAAAAAGGGAGTAACAGAGCTCCGAACCCTAAGCTTGAGAGCTATTTGCACGACAGGAGATGAGCCCTTACCGTTGTCTATGTCCGGGGTCCACTGCCTCGGCGGCATTGGTGACGATGACGTCTCCGAATACATGGACTGATCCGCTGTGAGTTTGGATTTCGGCTGTCGGCTTATCTTCTATGCTTTTGGGGTTTAGGTCATTAAAGGCCAACAAGGCGTGCTTCACCAGCTCAGATTATGAGTGGCTTATGTTTTTCATTATTCTCATAAGGAGTTTGAACATAGTGATGCTTTTCTACTGGGCCTGGTTTTGCGTCAGGTCCTACTAGTTGTTGAAGAGGTCGTGGTGCTTGATCTTCCTCCAATCCTGCTTTGAGGGCGGAAGTCTTTTAGCCTCTTCGAATCCATTCAGCAGGCGTCACATTCTGAAATCGGCCAGACAGTCCAGGGTGGTTTGGGGTGCAGGGCCCATGTCCAAGCTCAAATTATGCACCCTACAGATAGCGTCAGCCACTTCTTTCAAAGCTTGAACGAGTTAGTACACTATTTTAATATGAATATATATATATATATATATATACATATTTGTAGATGCACACATGTACTTGCTAGTTCATCCCGCTATGCCCTCTCAAACAAAGTCCTTCGACGAGGACCAGCAATCCTGCCCGCATCACCCGAAAATCCTAGGCCCACGAGAGCTGAAAGCATCTCGAAGGCTCGGTATTTTTGTTTAAAGCAGGGGCCTTAATAATTAGAATAGGGTTCCTTTAAAAGGGTTACAATAAAGGGTATTATAAGGATTTAGTGTAGGGGCCTTAATAATTAGAATAGGTTTTTGGAGGTTCCTGATTAAAATTATCGTAGAGTGGGCTCCCAAACCCTGTTCTAATTATTAAGGACCCTACATTAGGGCCATTCGTCATGCAAGTACTTCAATAACTAGGGACCTCGATATATATATATATATATATATATATGGTCATATATGTATATATATATAAAGAGAGAGAGAGACCTCGATAAGGTCGTAGGGTATACTGTGGCATATGCAAGTATCTACCCTAAACCCTAAACCCTAAATTGGGGGGGGTTACAAGGACTTCTTAGTAGTCAGACCCTATACTGCTCATGGCCAGACCTGATCCCTGAGTCTGGGTAGCCCGGTTTAGGGTTTAGGGTTTAGGGTTTAGGGTAGGCTAAGCTTAGCCCCTTTTTGGGGGTCGTATGCCGAGTCTAACCCCTAAACAATGGCTAGGAAACTGGACAAGCATTGTCTGCCGCGCAAGGACGATGAGATTCTGACAGACTTCGTCTGAGAGTGGGTTTGAACGGCCCGAAGGGTGAACATGGCTTCCTTCCAACGGCAATGCCCAATGTCTCCGGGGATCAGACACGGAATACAAAGATGGACCCGTGGCACTGCTTTCCCAGATTATCTAGAACTTTTTCATACCCCCGTACGCAGGGCCTCAAAGATTGGAGAGGCATATTTCGCAAGAACCCTGTCGCGCAACTCCTAGGCTGACTCCCAGAGGAGCAAGCGGCATGGAAGGTGGATTCGAGTAGCAGCTGCCAACCTACCAGCGTTAACCCTCTGCAGACGTCAGGAAACTCCTCTTGAGACAAACCTCAAGATTTCCTAGACCTTGGCCTAATAGCTGCGCTATCCCTGTATTACGACACCTAGTAGTACCACCACCACCACCACTAGCACCACCACCAACAACAACCACAACAACCACAACA